AAAAAAGGTATATGCGCAAGAATTTATTATAATTATATTGAGATGAATTGTAAAATCAGAGATACAAAGAGGTATTTGAAATTTGCGTAAAAGTTTAATATATTGGGATGAATGTTTAAAGAAGTATGAGTTGAATTTTAAAAGGAGAGATACTAAAGAGAATATAGGATAGTTAATTTGATGTTAATATTGAACTATTTCCCTAAGTTTAAAATAAAGATTCATAATTACAACTGCATTTCGCGACTCGAGTTGGTAGAGTAAAATTAAAATATATAAAATATTTTCAGAATAAAAAAAACTGAATTGACCCATTTTAATTAGTTGGGTCTAGAATTTAACAACCCATAATTATATCAGAAACATGGATAGGGTATAGACCTAAATATATATTTTCTAGCGGGCCTAGGCCGGGTTTGGGTTCTTTGGAAATTTTATGCAATATGACTTGGGCCGGGCTTGGGCTTAATTTTTTTATTCAAATTTAGCTTATTTTAAGGATATATAATATGACAAATATATCATATCATTCTGATTTTATTGGTGGTTTTTATGACATTTCCTAGACATCTTGGGAAAGTGTTAATTTTGTTTTTACTTTTATTTTTAAAATCGCAACTTGCTATTTTATATCGTTGTAAATAGTAAAAGCATGACTTTTACTTAATATTAAAAATCGCTAAAATTATAGGGATTAGAAGGCACTCTTTTTTTAATATTTTGCAATCTAATAATAAAGCCATCAAAAATTTTAGAAACATGCTGTGTCAATATTTTTTTTTAAAAAAAAATTAGATTGGGGACCCTAATGTTTTTAAAATTATATGAGGTAGCACTAGCACTGTTCTGACAACAAACCTGGTTAACAATACATATATTTTCAATGATTTTGAAATAATCACTAATTGTCAAATTTCTATGTTTTTGTTTTCTCCTTGTTTAAATTATATAAAAGTTTAAAAATATTACATATGATAATTGTCTTTATAAAAGTTTAAAAATATTACATATGATAATTGTCAGTTTTCTATATTATATCTAACAAGGTTCAAAAAAGTTTTATAATAACATTATGACAATTGTCACATTTCTATGGTCAATCTTTATTTGAATTTTAATTTTACATCTTATTAATATAAATTGTAACCTATTTGCGTCAAAAAAAAATCAAAAAAGTAAATTATAACAATTATGACAATTGTCACTTTTCTATGGTATATCTTTATTTAAATTTTAATTTTACATCTTAATAATAAAAATTTTAACCTGTTTACTTAAAAAAAAATCAAAAAAGTTAGGTAATAACGATTAAGACAATTGTCACTTTTCTATGGTAGGGGAGGAGACCGGAGTTATATTGTCCATAAAAAATGAAGCAATTTTTCCAAAAGGTTTAAACGTAGTTTTATTCTTTACATATATCTCTACGGTAGATAATAATATTTAAGAAAAAAGTCTTTTAGTTTTTAATTAATATGAAATTTAAAAAAATGAAAATTTAAGAATTATGAAAAACACCCGAGGTACCTATTATCCTTTCGCGTTGCGATAGCCTTTGTTTATTTGTAGATTTTTAAAACAAAATTTATATAAAAATATTAATTCTAATTAAATAAATAGAAATAAATTGTCAAAAAATATGTTAAATTTATTAGGTTCATCTATATTATATATATTACCAGGAAGAACTTATTATCTCTTAAAACTGTCATATAATTTACAAAAAATAAGTCAATCATCTTCATAATGTCATTCGTGGCCCAAGAAAAACTAGTGGCTTTTAATGTTTTTATAAATTTAGTTGAATATTTTTTATTCAAAATAATCCCTGCTTAAAAATGGCTAATAGGTACCGCGCCAAAACCTGCCCCCTGTCTTCACAATTAATTAAAATTTAATTTGATATTAAATTACCATAAATATTGTCAATATTTTTATAAATGATAGAATGGAGATTTTTTTATCATTTAGAATTAATATTAAGTCTGAAATATTTTTATAAAAAAAGTTATTAGTGAAAATGTAAAATTTTAAAAAGTTACTTTGGGTATGCTAAAATTTAAATTTGCATTTAAAATTTTTGATGAGCAATTTTGTCAGAAACATTTTTAGACCTACTTAAGCACCTTATTAAAATACATATTTGGTTTAAATTTCAAATCCCCAAGTTTATTCATTTTTAAATTATTTGAGAAGGAAATACCTACCCCGGGAACACACTATCCTTCTGTGGTAAAACTTTTTTTTATAAAATACGATTATGAAAATTGTCGGTGCATCTTTATTGAATTTATATTTTAATTTAACATGCTTAAAAAATAAATAATATTTTTTTCTTTCATCAAGGCAGGAGGAGAGGTATATGTAAAACATAAAAGAAATATTATATTAATAAAATTGAAAAACATCTGGGCTTTTAATAAAGGGGTAAAAAAAATAAATATCATGAAGATCTTTGAAGATCGTTACATACGAGACATTAGCTCTATAGATATCTCGAATTCATGATGACACCCAATTACCTGCCACTTACAAACTAAAGAAATGACATCCAGTCGTTGCCTGCTACATCGAAACCTTACTATCAAATAGTGTTGTTAATTGGTTGAGTATGTAAAACCCACACCCAGGGTTTAGATCTAAAAATACTAAACCAGCTCTGAGCAAAACCCCGAGCACAGACCTGGGGTTCAGATAAACGAAAACTAAGAAAAAATAAATCTCATTTATACTAATCTTAAATCTTATTATACATACTAATTATAACTTAAAGCTTTGTTTATTATTTCATTTTACATTAATCTCATTTTCTAATCATTTAAATATTTGTTTAAATTGGGGTGCTTTTGATTGAAGTCAGTATGACCTAACTAATTTTTCTCTTCCAGACTATGTTAATTCACATATATAATTATTATAGTTTATATATACATAACCCTCAACAATCAGCATGCATTTTTTAAATATTTTTGAAGTTAAGTTTATTAATTATTTTTTTTAGTTATTTATATAAAAAAATTTTTTTTAAAATAATATTTTTGAAGTTAAGTTTATTAAATATTATTATTTTTGTGATGATTTAATGAAACATGTTGACGATTAAATTAATTTACTTTCAAAAACTTGAAAGAAAATATTGAGAAAAACGTTATTAGTTTTTTTAAAAATTTAACTTTTAAAACTTCTAATAATTCTTTTTTAATTTTAAACTTCTTCAAACCAAATATATTTTTAGCCGGCTAAAAAATTGGCTAGACCAAGTTTTTTAGCCGAAAACTATCATTATGGCTTTTCTGGGTTAATATTAAAAAGATTGAGGTTCAAATTTGGAAGAAATTAATATAAATTAAAACGCCTACTGTTAACGGATTTACTTCAGCAAGCGCCTGAAGATTGAGCCGAGTTAGCCATTACCCAATTATAGCAATTACACAAACTATATATAAGTGTAAATTGAAGATTTTATATTATTTGACTTCAGAATAGGACAAAAAGACCCTTGTTTATACCTCCCCCCCCCCCCCCCTTCCAAATAAAAAGATCCAAAAGTATTCTAAATATCCCATTCAAGCTCAATCATCCCGAATTTAGGAATTAATGTCAAATGTACTTCCCTAAGATACATTTCTAAAATTAGAAAAAAAATCAATATGTGTTTAAAAAATAGCGATGAAATTAAACAAATCCGGCCAGAAAGTTCGTATCTAATTCTAAAATAGGATGGTATAGCTGGAAATAATCGCTTGACTAACATAATAACTCATTTTAATTCTACTTTTTTGGTATTTCTAAGCTCTAGGTGGTTCCGATTAAAATTTTTTTTAACCCTATGCTGAGTTGCTTGAAGGGCTTTACTCTCTAACCTCAGAAAATGCCATTGCATTTTGCCGTTTCTATACTTTTGGTAAATGATTTTTATTTGAACTATTTGGAATATCATTATTCATCTGAACCCCGAATCTAAACCACGTGTCTGAACTCCGGGTCTATGCTCCGGCGTGCTCAGAGCAGGCCTGAGAACCAAATTGCGTCGTTAATTTACGACCAATCAAATTAACAACACTACTATCAAGCTTGCATTCCCTCGATAGTCCTCTTTTTTTATCACTGCTAAATGACTCAAGGCACGGAATCCTCGAAGCTATTTCTTCTCATAATCTTCAATTGCAACTCATCAAAAATGAGCTTACACATGTCATAGATATTCGTCTCCGCTGCTAAATTACCCAAGCACCTTTGCTCTGGTTTTAAGTGCTCCTGTTGACTCGAAGGAATGGCATAGCCTTCACTAGCATACAAAGAACCTATCCCAAAACACCAATGAATTATTCAACGTGACCTAAAATCTACCCAGATTCCATCGATCCTAGAACCTATCGGGTTTTTTAGATTTGATGGAAAACGTCCAAATGGCATAATAGTTCCCCTGCAAATCTTAACATAAACATCTTGATATAAAGGGCTGTTTGAAATAAATAAATTTTCGGAAATATCAGAAGAGCACATTTTTATACCTATATGGTGGCCGTGTTTTAATCTTCACGAGCTCGGTTCACATATGTAAAATTACCGATGAACCTAGGGAAGGTTTTTATCTTAGTACACAGATTGAATTACATTAGTTTCATTGGTAGCCACCTTCCCATGGAGCCAACCTAACTTTTTTAATCCTTTTAACAAATTTTATATAGATTTATTATAATAACATTTACAATGTATTATATTATTATAACGTTTTGATTCGAATTAATAAACACATAATATTATTACAATATATATATATATATAAATTATAGATAATTCAATTCACCCAACCATAGATTACAATCAAAATTTTAGAATAAGGACTGATGAACAACCATCCTAAATCATCTGTTAATATAAATATCAATTCATTGCACATACAATTTTTTTAATTTAACTTGTACTTAGTTTATTATAATTTTTTTTTTCCTACAATCGTTTTAGCTAATCATATATATTTATGTATTGTTATTAATAGCATTTGGTTTATATTGATATATTTATAAATTGGATTTTAAAAAAAATAAAGAATTGGATACTACGAATAAGATAAATCATGATAGATAGCATCATTATATTAAAATCACAAAGCATTCCCATAAAAGTATATGGCAATAGGCCAACTGATGATTTCAATCCCAAAATTGCATTAATAAAATTTAGAAAGGGTTATTATATTATTAATATTATAATAAAATATACAAGCTATTTATTGCAATAAATTTACAATATATATAACAAAAATAAAATGAATAAATAAAAATAATTTATAGTTTAACAAATATGAAGATTTGATGTAAATGGCATATAATTTCTGTATGGAAAAATTTAATTAATTTTCTAAAAAATAAGTGCCATATTATATATAAAGTATGAAAAGTAGATGATGCATAATAGTTAATATAATAAAAATACTCTTTTGAGAATTAGTTTTGAGTATATAATTTATTTTATGTATTAATATTTTTTGTACATTATTCAATAATCATTATTATTAATCTGTTTACATAAATTTTTTATTCTTTATTGATTAATTTATTAGTATTCGTCATTATTATTTTATTTATTTAATCATTACTATTGATTTTTGTATATATATTTATTAATTTGGCTATTTTATATTTGATAAAAAAAAACAAACAAAACAAAATTTCAATCAAAAAGCGGAAAGTGATGGTGACAGTCATTTACTTTTATTTTTTATAGTAAAAAATCGTCGCTACTCATTTATCCAAAAAAATCAACGAATTCATTTTAGTGTCAAAGCATATTAGTATTTTTTTAAATCCATGGTAATTAACATTTAAAAAAAGAACAAATTTGGAATCAAAGAAAAATAATAAATAACTAATGAGTGAATTCTTCTTTAATTATAAATAAAAATAAATATATAATGATCATTTTTGGCGAGGAAATAAAAATTTTCCAACCTTTTTGTCAATAAAGTGCGTCACTGGATCAGTGACACCATCTTGGTAGCGCTCCCATTCAAAAATTTTACTGATTATGTCGTCGTCAGCTGATTTCTGCTCATTTTCTAGTTTACTTTTACCATTGTCATTCACATGATCATTTATTTGTTTATTTATAATATCGTTATTAATTTGTTTATTTTTTGGAATTGCGTTGTTTTCAGGTTCTTTTTGAAAGGAAGTTAAATCGTTAGATGTCGCGTATTCCACACCATCTAGTTTAAGAATAAATTATATTGTTTTTTAAACATTATAACATATATTTAATATTGCTATTTCTTTCATGTATTTCCATTCTTTTTTCTTTCCTTTATTATTTTTAAATTCCTTTTTTTCTTTCTAGCTCCATAAAAAAAATAGAAATGAATGATGAAATAAAATTATAACTTACATGAGTAGCTTTCTTCATTTCTTTTAAAGCATACAAAAATGAAAATAATTTAAAAAAAAATTTTTTTCTATTAAATTCAATTGTTTTCTTACTATTCTTTTCCATTACTTTCTATTCTATATCATTCTATTCTTTTTCTTTCTATTTTTTTCATCGTATATTTTATCGATCTATTTATATCTCTATAAATATGGTGGTGTCAATGTGTTTATTTATCAAATAATTTTTTAAATTAAAAAATCTGTTTTTACCCGAAATGTATTCCAGTATAAATACCTACCCGATAAATTTAAGACAATTTTACCGTTAACTTTTGAGTCATTTATAATTTATATAAAAAATCTATGGTAACAAACACTTGTCCCACCCCATCATTAGTATTCCTCCTTCCACATTACAAATCCCACCATCTAATTCTACATCAAATGCCTCAAGTCCTACCAAACCATTTAAATCCTGCCAGTTAGTATTAAATACCATAATTTTCTTGACCACAATTGGTCCAATATAACCCAAGCTCAAGATTTCTCAGCCATCTTACACAGAATACTAAGGGGTGTTCGGCCAGCAGTTCAAACCTTATTAACAAATATTATCCATTCTATATTGTGAATGACAAAAATATTTCATCCTGGGAGAAATTGTTTACCTTTCCATTTCATATACTAAATGTACCAAAGAATAAAGATTGCCCATTGTCAAAGATTATTAACGACTATATCATCATATTCTCAAATAACAGATCTTACTTAAACCATACAGAAACTACTCAACATAAAAACATACAATCTACTGATGAAAAATTGGCAAAAATAATTTCAAAGTATATAAATAATTTTAATTGTAAAGCTGCCGTCTACATTGTTTTTCCAATAACGATTTAGTAGCTCTCCGATGAAGTGTACAAAAAACTTATAAAATGCAAATATTGATCAGTTTTCATCCACAAAGATGTCGAAAGTATTTAAAACACGGAAGAGATTTCAGAAGCAATAAACTCTTTTCCAATAGACTAAACTGGAGGGATCGATTTAGGCCCATATTTTTTATAGATCTAACAAATATAGATAATGCCAGCTTATTACTGCTATTACAAGTTATAACAGAACCTAGCAATCTCATAGTTAATGGAGGATTACCATACCATTTAATCCCTCTAGTCTTCGGTGCATGACTAATAGCACCTCAAAAACCAAATCAGGGTATAAGGCCTATGGCTATAGGTAGTTTATTCAGAAGAATTATCTCAAAAACATTAGTAAATAAATAAAGATTCCTATCTGATATTTTAGCACCCAATCAATTAGGATTGGGGATTAAAGAATGAAACCGCTAAACCATGCAGATAGAATTACTCTGGAGAATCTACCTTCAGGTCATTTATTTATCAAGCTTGATATAAGAAATACATTCAACTCAAAACCGCAACATTATAATTCAGAGTTTTTCCGAAAAATACTCAGAATTCTTTAATTACATACAATCTATTTATGTATCGCCATCAATATTACGTTATCAAAAACGCACAATTTTGTTAGCGCAAGGACTCTAGTAGAGTGATCCCCTAGGTATATCCTTGTTCTGTTTAGAAATAAATAAAATAATTAAGGATATTAAGATTAATTGTGACCTTAACTTCAAGCACTAAAGAAGAAATAAATAAAGTTCTCGACATTACCACCATTAGCTTTCAACAACTAAACTTGTAATCAAATAAGAATAGAATAAAATATTCTTCTTTCATCCTAGACCTAATTCCCAAAGAGGAAATCTGTGTTCTTGATCCGCAAATAGGTGGGCCACCAATAAGTGGCTCAATCAGTATCAATAGAAAAGAACATCTGCAATCTAACATTAAAGCAAAATATACTTAAACTCTTGCCTTTACATCATATGATTAAAAATTTCTTAAACATAACCAAAATTCTTTACTGCTTATCAACAGGGACATTCTTATTTCCAAAAATTAAAATAAATCCGATATTTATTGGCTTAATCGGGCCGATATTCATATTTTTTAAAATTTTTCTATGGGAACCGATAAAATGGGGTCTTAATTTTTAAATTTTTAGAAAATTGTATATTATAAAAAATGATGTTATAAATTTTTTTTAAATAGGTTATATCTAAAAATAAATTTATTTTTATAAATAAAATCGAAATCCATTTTTATGTTTATTATTTTAATAATGGATTATAATTACTCAGTCAAAAATACTGTGTGGGATAACAGCATTGATTATATGTTATTCTTGCAATTTTATATTTATTTAAATCCTATAGCATTCATTTCTACCGTATATTCCATACTTTTTCTATCTATCTCTCTTGTTATTTTCTTTTTTATTTCTTTATCTTTTCCATTTTTTATCCTCATTTAATTAAATAACACATTACATATTTTACTTTAAATAACCCTTTTATTCTCATCCCTAAAATCCTCTTTAGTAGTTATTTTCTATCATTTTTTTCATTACCTTTTCCTTAATATTCTCTTCTCTTACCATTCTATTTTCTTAATTTTCCTTCATTTTTCTTATTTCTCTTTATATTTTTTTTATCATTAATTTATCCATTTTATTCATATTATACTTTCGCTCGCTTTCCTTCTAATCCTATCTCTATAAGCGGCCTCTGTAGCTTCCCAGCGGGCGCGAAGTGGAGACCCTTTTGCGAAAAAAGGCGGGGAGATAGCGGCCGAAGTTGTTACGAACACCTTCAACATGACTGCCCTCACGTGATCCGTGAGTTGATCCACGTCAGCCGTTGTCATGCCTTTGGTGGGAATAGGAGGGAGGCACGTGACTAAAACGATGCCTGATTTTATTCCGTAATATGGGCGGAAAAAATGAATATAAAAGGAAGGAAAATAGATGTTAAAAAAAAGAAAAAAACAGTTAAAAGGAATGAAAATGAACAGAAATGATATAATTTCTATCTAATTCTCATGGGAGGTATGAAATCGAAGAAAGATTGAATATATAAATGAAAGAAGGATTGCATTAAATGGATAGTATATTTTATATATAAAAATTTCACTTAGGTTGAAAGGAAACATTTAAAGGAAAAAAAAGAATAGAAAATAAGATAAGAAAATAGAAGAAATTAAGAATTAAATTTCTAAAGTGAGATTGAAAATTAGAAGATAATTAATTTAAAAAAACCTGAATTAAAACGTTTTTCGTAACGACAATAAAAAGGGTAATAGGAACTAAATACCACGGGGCAAATCGGTACCTTTTTTAAATTACATTTTAAATGTTTGATGAAATTATTGTCAATCAACAAAAACAATATAATCATTAATGACTATACTTGAGCTTGAACGGCAAGATGAAAAGCTCCCTTTTTAAAGGGAAGGATTCCCGTCCCATGATTCCGAGTTCCTTCCGGAAAAATCCATACTTTCAACTTTTATATAATATACAAATATAATGTAAGGTTTATTTATATGTACACTTGAATTGTCCATATATATATATATATAATATGTAGTATAAATATAAAATACAGGCAAAGGTCAGGTGTGGGTAGTGGGATTAGTATTCAAATTTTAATATATTCTTAAAAATTAATTTTAATCAATATAAAACTATGATATTTAATATGACAAAATTGGACAAGAAAAGTTATTTCAATATAATTGTATTATCTTTATAATTATGGCAATTCATACGTTTCGCCAAATAACATTTAAAAAAGATATAACTTTTTCAATTTTCATCCGTTCCGCTAAATCTGCCAAGGTCTTTTTAGCAGAATTTAGGTCTTTCCGATCTATGTAGACTACCCCGGTCACGTATGACAGTGCCCCAAATGGACCTAGGTAAACTACCTCTCTTTTAGCTACGGAAGTGCAGTTAGAAGGCCATACTGTTGATTGTGCTTTAATAAATAGGTGTTCTATTATCAATTCATTCTTTTCAAATTATTTACCTTTATTCTATTGTATACTTTCCTTTTCCTAATTATTCTTTCTCCAATTTAATTTTACCGTTCTTCCATTCTCCTTCAAACCCAATTATATAATAACATCTTGAAGTAGCGAGGATATTTTATTAATCATATTGTTCTTCTTGCTAATCTTCTTACTAAATTAACATTGTTCCTAATAATAATCCTCTAATTTTTTTATAGGGCTCGGATCAAAAACAATTACTATTTTTTGTTCAAAAAGGTATTTAAAAAAACATTTCCAATCCCTATTATATATTTTTTTCTTATCTTTTCACCTCAAGTCCAAAAGAAAATAAATATCTTATTTCTCTTAAAGATTTTCTCTACTAATTCATTCTTATTTATTTATATATTCTTTAATCAAACTTTAAAAGAATTAAATGATCGCTCACTATATAACGTTGATTCTGTTAGCCACGAAATCTTGCCCTTGACACTCTATTTTATTCAATTTTTAAACTATTCTTTTCTTTATTATTCATACCCGTCCTAATCTATAAGAGAATCAACTCACAGAGTAAATCCAGTGAACTCTGGTGATTGCTCACGATAACAGCCGATTCGTCTCTCGTAGCATTTTCCTTGTGTAGTATTCGGTATCGGATACCGAATATCCGACAAACTTTGTAATAGAGAGTGTATACTATCCTAATATATCATTACAGAAAAGGGTATTAGATAGTTCTATCTAAAATGAGCATTTGATTATCTAGTAGTATATAGCTTTATGTTATATCCCCATTTAAAGGATGATTCTGTTCTATTTACGATAAATTTAGAATATTTGTAAGGTTGTAGAATTTCCCTATCTATTTTTTTCTTCCTTTTAATCTCATTTTCCCTCTATTTACCAGGGTTGTGCATTTGACCGGTCAAATAAATAAATGTTTTTTAAGCCAATATTAACTTTATTTTGTATATATATAATATTATAATGAATTTATATAATATTAAATTTCATATTTTTTTAAATTCATTCCAGAGTTAATGTTTTGCCCTCCGTGGCTGTCTTGTTCCGATTCATATTCAATATCATTATTTTCTTTAATATTTTTAATGAATCTTAAGTTTTGATATACTTCTACCAATTTTCTTGTTGTAGAAGTCGTCAATCGATTTCTGTTTTTCGTATGAATATTGCCCCAAACCGACCAATTTCTTTTAAAAGAAGTCGAACTAGGAAATATTAGTAAAATATTAGCTACTTCTCTTAATGGGCAAGGTTGACAAAGTGCATTCCGCAAACTTGAGGCCGAAATCTGATTATTTTTTATGGAAGTTACCACTTTCCACATATATTGGCTATTAAATATGCCGCTTTTATCTGAAATTTATTATATCACTTAAAATATTTTGATTATCACCACCTTGTAAAATACCTATTGTAAATCACATGCTTCATCAAATTCAGTACTTGTAAGATGCTCCCCTTGATTGGGGGTCCAATAAGTAAGCAGCATTGTGAGCACATGTATTTAGATCATTTCTTCTCTTTTCAAACATAACTTTAATTTTTTTTCTTAAAATGGAGAAAATATAGAATCATAGCATGATTGTATTATGTGTTTTTCCAAATTAAGCATCTCGTTTTTTATGTGAGCCAAAGTACATTTATCCCCTTGCACTTTCAATAATGAGGTAGCTAAAGGTTGAAGAATAGCTAAAAATTTTAAATTTTTCTTCCAAAATATATCTTCATTTTATATATTATTGGTAATTTGTATGGGACAAATATCACATACAGCTTCTTCCACAACTGGTGGTTTCAGAACTTTCTTACATATTTGTATTTGCTCCAAACATTTTATTGACGATGCCTATCTTGTTTGGCTAATTGTACTTACTGTAGATGGTATACCTTGATTTTTATTACGGAAAAATTGCAGCTGGTATGTGTTTATTCTTGAAAAATTTAATTTTTTAAATTATTGAAATATAGTAACTAAAGTCGTTCAATCGTTCAAAATCATGAAAGAATGACTGCAATGTATGCGCTGCACAACCATTACATGATTATAGATTCAGATTTTAAAATTCTCCAAGCTGTTTTCATGTTAGCGGCATTATCAGTAACTAAAGAATAAACTTTTACCGGATTTAATTCATGAATTACAATTTTAAATTCCTGGGCAATATAATCTGCCGTATGGCGATTTTCCTCAGTATCTAAAAATTTGTAGAATACTGAAACAGGCGTCATCACCATAAAATTAATAATACTCTCGTTTCTGATGTTGCCCAGCCATCTGATACAATTGATAAGTGAGGAGCTTTATCGATTATATCTGCAACTCTCGCCTCCATATCTCCTGACGCTTTGTCTAGAAAATATCCAGCCAGCTGCCTTCGCCCTGGGTAGTAAATAGGATGTATTTTTTATAAAGAATTATTGAATGTAGGGATTTTCAGTGATGTGGAAAGGTAAATTGCTCGCATATACAGCCTTACAAACAATTGATAGAGCTCACTTTTTTCTTTGGGATTTATTCTATCTATGAAACCAGTTATACAAGATTGAGATTTACATTTAAACGCCTTGTTTGTAGATTGATCAGAGATGATGGAATCAAATTTTCTTAAGTCACAAGACAAAATATTGTCAATTTGATCACCAATTCTTCGTTATAGCTATACAAATTACATTTATGTGATTTTTGTAGTAGAGGTTGATATTTTGGAATTTAAATAAAATTTTTCCTTAATTATGGCAGGGCATATATTATAGCTGCTTAATAAATGCTTGGCCATTCTATCAACATGGGCAATATAGGATATCTTGCAAACCCTGCATACCGCTTTAACTGATTTACCATCGCGTACTTCTTGAAAATGTTTCCAAACCTGATGCTTTGGTTTGACCATAATTCATAATATATTAAAATTTAACTATAAAAGATTTTGATTATAATCAATGGATTATTTTGTGAATTTTATTTTGCTGTGTATTTTGATATGTAAAATAAAGAATTATGATAATAAAGCTCATCAATTATTTTATAATTATCACCAATTATTTCAATAATTTGGCTTAATATTATATATAATATATAGTTTTACCAGAATTTAATAAATTATTTTGTAGATCTGTCTGACCAGAACAACTAAAAAGAAAATTAATTTATAAATTCAAATGTAGAAAGTGGAAGTAGAATAAATGAGAATTAATATAATTTATACTCGACTAAATATTAAATAAAATTTAAATTCATTAAAAAATAAACCATAACTTAGCTAAATTTTTATATTTATTTATTTTAGTAATAAAAGAAATTCTTTTATTTTCGATTCCTTCATGATACAAATATATTTTTAAATACATGCTTTTAATGCATACTAGTAAATTATCAAAATATCTTTTCGCATACTATTTTGGAGTATTTGATCGGTCAAATACTCCCCCGGTCAATTTACCGACATGCCAACCCTGCTATTTACTTCCTATTTAAACATAATTTTTATTTTACTTTTGGTTCCTACAATTCCTTTTTCCATGTCCTGTTACTAAAAATACTGGCCATATCAAACTCACGCAAAATATTACTAATCCATAAAACAATGTTTTCACGTAGAACCGAGTAACGGTAACGAAGGTGGAAGAATCCTTAAGAGTGGCCACCTTGTATTCTTTTGCCGCTTCGGACCACTCTTTTAAATTATCTAGGAATCGCCCATTTTGTTTCTGTGTTTCGTATTTTAGTTTATTATTCTCGTCCTTATTATTTTTTTGTTTATTATTTATTTCTCCTATGTTATTTATTTTTTGGAACAGCTGATTGTGTTCTTGGACCAATTTCAAAATTTCTTTTTCAGCCTCGCAATACATGTTATCGAATTTGTGGTTGGCTAAAAACAGGGTTTTAAATATGATTAGTGAAAATGTGCTTCGAAAGTGCAATGTTTTTAATCTAATCGTCCATGAATTATCATTATATATAAAAAATTGTTATTTTTTGAATGGCAGGTGTGGCTCAGAGGGTAAACAGATGGACGCAGTAGGTTAGAAGCAAATTCTTGCTAAAACGAACTCAAGGGAAATTGTGAAATTAAACTGATAACTTAGGGTTGAATTTGACAGATATGATTTAGGATATTTTATATTTAAAAAATGGGTATATATTATGCATACTTTTAAATAAAATTTCAATTGTTTAGGTTAATAAGTTGTTATATGTTATCCGACGGACATTATCGTTATCCTGAAATGTAAAAAATCATATAATGATGATTTCTTAGGCGAATATATTTTTGAATAACCTAGCGATTTGATTAAATTTTAATTACAATTCAGAATAACTTCTGTAAAAAAAACTATAATAAATTGTGGATCAGATCCAAACAACAACCAATAGTGATGGCAATCAATTCAACCATTTTTCAATCAAACAGGGTTGTGCATTTGACCGGTAAAATAAGATTCGGTCAATTGGCCGATATTTGACCGGTCAAATATGGTTAAATTTAAATAAATGTTTTAAAGCAATATTAATTCCATTTTATATATAATAGTAAAAAATATATGTATAATAATATTTTTATAAATTCAATAATTAATGTTTCATTCTCCATGGCAGAGCCTTTTTAATCAATCTTAGGTTATGATATACTCCTACTATCAATTTTCTGGTTGTCGAGATCTTCAATCGGATTTTTTAGACACTTTTCTTAATATTCAAGGTGAACAGAGCCCATTCCAATAACTTGAGCCCGAAATCTGATTGTTTTTATGAAAGTTACTGGTTTCCACATATTTTGGCTATTAAATATACCGCCGCTTTTAATTCTGAAATTTATATCACAAAATATTTTGATGATCATCACTCTGTAAAACGACTAATTTTTGTATTATATCATATGCTTCATCAAACTCAAGTAAGATGTTCCCCTTATATTGAGGATCCAATAAATAATCAGCAGTGTAGTGTGAGCACATGTATTTGCATTGTTTCCTTTTTTAAACGTATCTTTAATATTTTTTCTTCAGATTGGTAAATTATAAAATCGTGGACATGATTGTATTATATGTTTTCTAAATTAAGCATCTTGTTTTTTACGTGAGCCAAGGTGAATAAGATAGCTAAATGAATAGTATTAATATTAAATTTTTTGTCCAAAATATCATTTAATACATATTAGCAATTTCTCTCGGACAAATATCCAACTTCTTCAACCTTTCAGAGCTTTCTTGCATATATGTATTTGTTCATGACATTTTATTGATGATGCCCATCTTGTTTGGATAATTGTACATAATATAATACAAATTGACAATTAGTAATTTTCTTAAACCATGCAAAATTATTATATTTATTTATATATTTAGATCTAATCAAATTAATAATGAGAAAAATTCTTTTTTTTATATTTCAAATTGAAATTCTAATATTTTAATATAAAAATTTTATATTTTTATATAAAATTATAATTAAATCAATGCTTTGATGATTCAAATATATTTTTAAATAACTTGATAAATTAGATTGATAAACATGCTATAAATACATTAGTTAATTAAATAAATATAGTTATTCACCAGAGTATTTGACTAGGTCAAATACTCCTTCTGTCAATTAAATTTGACCGGTCCATTGACCAACTTGCCAACCCTGTAATCAAATATTGGTTAAAAAACGAAATTGAATTGGAGGTGCCGCAATATTTACGGGTCTTCCTCAACATAAGATGGAATTTGTTTAGTCCATTATCTCATTTTATTTTTGAATTAAAGAGGGCTTAATCTAAATGCATATAATGCAAATATTTTTTTCCTCATTACATGCTATTCATCTATATTTAAAATAAGGATGTGAGAGTTGTTAAAAAGGGTCTTTTGCTTTTCATAGAAAATTGTATGACATGTAGAAGATGTGGACGTTGTTAGTGTTACAGATTCTCTGCCAAAAATATCTTATAAACAAAATAGCGTATAATAAAAAAACTAAGCGGAACTGGAATAAATCTTCCTCTAGTTCTATATCATTCTCTTCCTCAAAAAAATTTATATCTTTGGTTTTACTTTTGTAAATATTCATTTTAAAAAATAAAAAAGGATTAAACGGATAAAATGTTAATCTTTTCGTTTATTCGGGATAAAAAATTTATTATTTAAATAAAAAAATTGGGAATTTACATTTAAAATTAAATTTATAATAAAAAAAATATTTGTATTCGTCTGAAATTATAATAAATACCATAGATCTGTAAGAGGTACTATTTGCACGCCCTAAACAGATTTTCTTTTTAAAAAAATTGGCTCGGCTAAGATACTTTTTTAAAAATTTTATCGGTTTTTTTAGACCGGGTCCGGATTTTTTTATATTATATTTTAATTTTTATAGTTAATAATGGCGATTTAAAATATTTGGCTTTAAATAATATGCCCGGATCGGATATTTTTCAATAAAAATTATTTAGGCCCATCCCAGGTATATTAAATATGGTCAGCGTGTACCCAGGCCTGCAGGTCTCTGATAAATACAAAACACTTTTTATTTTATTTAAAATACAAATATTATCGATAACATAGTATTTAAAAAACAAGTATTTGTGTAACTGCCCAAGCTTGTCCTTAATAGTTAACTAAATCTTCCTTATTTGCTTTTAGTGCTTATATATCTTTTTATTGGAAATAAAACGCAATATTTTTATAAATTCTTCATTTTCGGATTAAAATAAGATCAGATCGGGTACAGACCATCAGAATCGAATTGGTGAGATAATATGGTATCGTACCGCCTTTATTATTTTTTAGTTATAATTGGGTATTTTGTCGGCAAACTTTTCGCTAAATTTCGCTTAACCTTATAATTTGTATGCTCAAATATTAAGCTTAAAGTTTATATGCTCAAAGCTTAAAGTTTATTTATCTCACTAAATTTCTTTATATCACATTAATTTAATATTAATTATATAAAATAATTATTTTATATTATATTACTTATATAAAATAATTATATATTAATTTTATAAAATAATTATATTATATTAATTATATAAATTTCTTTATATAACATTAAAATTGCTTTAAAAATTATATTATAATTATATTAAATATTAGAATTATACTAAATATTAGAATTATACTAAATATTAGAATTATATATATATATACTAAAATTATTAATATTAGAATTGTATATTTTCTTAAATTTATATTATTAAATTTTTAATTACATAAATTACTTTAAATAATAAAATCTGTCTAATCTATTATATTATATTAATTATATAAATTTCTTTATATAACATTAAAATTGCTTTAAAAATTATATTATAATTATATTAAATATTATAATTATATTATATTAAATATTAGAATTATATTTATATTATAATTATATTAAATATTATAATTATATTTATATTAAATATTAGAATTATATTAAATATAGAATTATATATACTAAAATTATTAATATTTGAATTGTATATTTTCTTAAATTTATATTATTAAATTTTTAATTACATAAATTACTTTAAATAGTAAAATCTGTCTTATCTGTAAAAGTTAAATTTTTAATATTTTTAAATCTCTCGCTTCAAACCTATAGGGGCCATTTTAGCTTATTTGCTTTTTTAACATTTTTAAATAGTAGTTAGCGGCCCATAACCAGATAATATATTATAAAAAAATTAAGTCGGACCAAATAATAGGTCCAAATAAGGGTTAAAGTTTCAACGCCGATTAGAATTTAATTTGATTGAGTAGGGATAGGCTTCTACAATAATAGTATACCAAAAATATTAGATATTTTTTGTTCAAAAATCTATCAATTTTTTTAAATTAAACAGTTAAATATAAAGGTAATAATCATTCTTAGCATATTTCGGCTAAAAAAAATGATTCTCAATTGTGTTTTAAATGTTATAGGGAATATTTTAATTTAAAATTTATTAAGTCATAGAATTTTAAGGGCTATAAAATAATGACTATATATTTTTGAAAAAAAATTAGATAGAATGAAATCCTGATTAACAGGATTCAACTTTAGTTTACCTAAATATCAATTTTAATAATATTTGCAATATAAATAATTATCAGGCCAATTTTCATTTATTTTACAGCCACTTCTAAGTGAGCAAACACTCAAATAAATACTAAATAAAATATATAAGATTTTATCATTAAAATATTTAAAATGAAGAACTAAATTTCCAGTTTTTTCTAATCCAATCCTATTTCCAAATGTGGATTGGACTAAACCTAAAAAGAAGCATTCCTTCTAGATAGGCTGAAGAAGTTGCCACACCAAAGAGATGATTGAAAATTATGTTTATTTCTGTATTATCACCAAAAAATTATATCTTAAGATCTTCACTAGTAAAGATTCAAGATTTTATATAATATGGAAAGCTAAAACATTTATTAATGTTTGATTTTTGTCAATTATTAATAGAGGGTGCCAGTCATTGTTTAACACAATCTGATATGTTTGATGATTTTTTTTGCAATATATCCAAGGATTTTGTGATTGAAAATCACATACTTAAAATATCCTTTGAGGCTGATATTTATAACTTTTTGGTGATTTATTTAGTCAATATTAATTGGGTTACTTTACAAATTTTACATTTAATTGGCTATTGACTTAAGTATGTTTGAATACTATCTGCTAGTGTGTTCTGTCCATTTTCAATAGGATCCTTTAGAGCTCAAAATAATTATTTTAAAAATATTTATGATTTATTCTATTAGACTTTTTAGCATATGAGTTTAAATATTTCCAGTATCAAAATTTATACTAATAGTATTCCTCGTCATCAACATTTTTTTAGCATTCTTTATAAATATGTGTTACTATGCAATTAAAATCATTTTTGTATTTTATATTGAGACCTAGTAAAAATTTTCAAATTTAGAATTTAAATAATTATTTTCTCTAATTTATGAAGATTATCACGTAAATAAGACAGTATAAAAATTTCAATAAATCCCCAAGTTTAAAATTTGATCATATAAAATCAATTTATTGACTTAACTAAATATTGATTTAAATGCTTAAATCTATTACTAGCCACCCATATCTAGATTCCTTTAATTTTTATTCTAGGTTATAAATTAATACATCAATCATGATTCTAACAATTTGAAGATTTCATTAAGCCAAGCTCTCATTAATCTAGCTAAATGTTCTTATATTGATATACCTTTTAAATTATGATAATGGATGATTTAACATGCCTAAGATCCCCAATTGTGATTTTTTTTAATGCAATTTGTGATTAGCCCAAATTCAAATCTCATACTTAATATACATAAAAATAATTTATGTAATTTACTCATATCCACTTTTTATAATACCAGGTGTATCACTAGATTTTTCAATTTGCCATGACTCAATGGGTGTTCAAATTTAAAATTCTCTTAAAAATTATTTTTTGCTTAAGCTCCTAAACTTTTCATGATTGCTAATCAATTTTATCAAAAATGCCCAGTATATCTTTGATCTCATTGCCAATGAATGATCACATCAATACTTGTAGTATAGATAAGAATTTTAGGAAATCGTTTATCTAACTACATTTAAAAATGATAATCAATAAATTACATCCTCACGTCATTTATTATTTTAGAAAGAGCATATTAATTAATTTTAAAAAAAAATTTACTTTCATATTGAATTTCTTCATCTTGATCACCATCTTTAGTATAAAAACTGACAATATATACAATAAATCCACATATCCCCATAAATATTGCAGTTAATATGAGACCTGTGAATGTTAAATTAGTTTCTACCAAATTTAACATATTTATTTGTCCTTTTCCAATAAAAAATTTAAGGATAGAAAGTACCATGTAATGTGAGGTAACAAAAAAAAACTATTAATAAGTAGGTTTAAGCCATTGATCCTCATAATTAGTGTTGTTAATAAACTAAGCCTATATGCTTAGTTTAAAAAAGCGAAGTTTTAGGTCGAAAAATTAGCCCAAAACTGAATCGAGTTGTAAACTTAGTTCTTAAACTTAACTTATGAACTCTAGTCGTGAAGTCAGATATTTTTTTTATTTAGCAAACATATAATAAATTTAATGAAAATTATACTAATATAAAGTAACTATTCCAAATGTAGACTAATCCAAAAAATCGAGAAGAAATATATTATAATGGAGATAAGTAAGGAAGCAAGAATAAGTATAGGAAAACTCCTTGGGAAATAAAAATGTCATAGAAGCCTATAGTTAGCTTTATAGGTATGGCCAGCTTTTATCTTAGAAGATGCCTTCCTGAAAATCACCAAGGAGCTTGCCGATGTGGGATCCTAAATTGAAGGATAAAACAAATTTACCAAGGGGTTAAGGTTGTGAATATAATTGAAATAAAAAATACCAAAGAAAAAAGCAAAATCACAAGGTAAAATTTTATTAAATCTAAGTTGCAATGTACTGTCAAAGTTAAGCAATATCTAGATTTTAGAAGATATCGTGATAATTAGTTTAAATAAAATTTTAGAAAAGAAATAGAATATTATTTTATTTATTGTATTATTCTAATTCTAATAATAATGATAATTATTTTTATGGTGAGTAGAATACTAAATGTAATAAATTAAATTTAAAAAAAACTGTGTTTATTTTTCTAAATTTGATAATTCCTTTATATTTTTGGACACTCGAGGATTCACAGCCGCTAAGTGATATAAATGTTTATATTTTCTAAGATAAAAAATTTCGAAAAGCAATTATAAAATAAATAAATAATACTTAAAACATGTAATAAATAATTTGAATCTTATTTGGCAAATTTTAAATTTTTATACATTTATAGATAATTATATTTTAGCCGTATTTTTTATTTTTATAAAAAATATCTGAAAAAATTATAAAATCTGTTATCGTGTTTTATTTTGATAACGAATGATGCGTTCTAGGAAGAAACGAATTAAGCAACTACCTTTTTTTTTCCGGGCAATAATGTAAAATTAACGATGTTATATTTTTAAAGTAATGTGTACAATAATTATTTTTCTAAATTTATTCAATATACTTTTTACATTTTATTTGTTATTGCATTTTTTGATACATTTTATTGATATTTTGCTTAATAAAATTGCTGAGTTTTGTTTGTTATAATGTTAAATATATGATTACATAATTGCCTCATGCCTTAGTTAGCTGGGGTATTAAAATTGCAAATTATCTTTTTTTAGCATTTTCATAATAACTCTAACATCAAGGGAGGTAAAAAGCGATAACTTATTTTATTTTTAAGAGGAATATTGGGGCCACTCATTAGAGATCCCTAATTCTATTTAAACTAATTTCGGGCCGGTTCGGGTCGGGCTTGGCCTAATATTTTTAAAAAAAAATTTGGGCCGGGTCCGGCCTTGGAAATTTTTTTAAATATATCTAAATTTATAAATTTTATATTGAATTTTTATGTAAAATAAAAATGTTTGATTTTATTTATTGAAATTTAACAACATATAACATATGTCTTTTATTTTGAGTAATTATAAAAATTGATTTCTATATTTAAATAAATTCGGGCCGGGCCGGGTGGGTAAATTATTTAAAAATAATTTCGGGTTCGGGCCGGCAAAACCTTTTTAAAAAAATTTGGGATTCGGGCCGGGCAGGCAAAATTTTTTAAAAAAAATATCGTGCCAGGCCGGGCTTGAAAAATTAGGCCCGATGCAGATCATTACCACCAATGATTACTAAATAAATAATACATAAAATAAATCGTTATTTGATTATATTTAAATATTAATTATAATAATTTTATCGCCAATAAGCAGAACACCCGTGGGAATGCCAGGTCTCCTCTAATATTCATTTTCAAGAAAAAAATGGCTTGATAAATTTATGACTTTTACAACAATAGTTTTCAAAATTAATGTCTAATAGGCGTTGGTTTTCACCTAAGCAATCTTTCTAGCATAGGCAAACGTTCTACAGGAGTGCTTGGTGTAAATGATATATTACTTTAATAAACAGTAAATTTTGAAAATCAATATATAAAGATAATGAATAAAATATGTAATTATATATTTCAAAAGTAACTAGTTATTTTTGTAATTAGTTACTTTAAATACACTATTTTAAGTTTAATTTATTAATATTTTATACTCAATAATATTATTAGATAATCTATTATATTATGCGAATCAAATTATTACCATTATTAATATTGTAAAAAATGAGGTGTAAATAAAAATAAACAATATTTTTTTGTTCTATAAACAATATTTTTTTGTTCTATAAACAATATTTTTTTGTTTTATAAACAAAAATAACATTAAAATAAACACAATTTTATATATAAACATGTATAAACAAAAACAAAAAGAACCAAGATAATTAAACCAGAATAAACAACACGAATATAGTAAACAAAAATAAGAAATAAATGTAAATAAAATTATCTAATTTTGTTAAATGTATATAAAGATTTTTATTAAACGACCTTATATGACATTTGAATATAGATGGTATTATTAAATTATGTTAAAAAAATTTTAATCAATAAATTACATTTTAGTATTGAGATTTAATAAATTTATTAAATTATTAAAAGCCCAAATATATTTCCTAATTTTATTGAATATTAGATGAAAAATACTTATATTTTTCTTAAATATACAGGAACTAATTTCCTTGTGTCATGATATTATTTTGAAATGCCATTTTTTATTTTATTATTTGAAAAGTATCATCAATAAAATCATTCATTAAAATTTTACAAGTTATATATGACTCTATTGTCTTGAATTTGATTCGTATTCTTTTTTTTCCCAAAATCAGTTGGGAATGGACTTAAAATCGAATCGTAAAATGAATTTATTATTGCACAATCAAATATTTTATTAATTGGCAAGCATAATAAAGTTTAAGATAATATTATTAATATTTCTTTTTTCTAATTTCTTACTTTAACTTTTTATATTAGATGTATTTTTTGCTTTTACAAATCTTTATGTTTCATATTTAATAATAATTTTTTCCCATTTCAATTTATTTTTCCCTTTTTTTTAATATTATGATATTCTTATTTTTTATTTTATTTTTCTCTTTATAAGAGATATCTAATTGGAAGAATAGAAAGACGAATAAATGAAATTATAAAAATATAAAGAAACTGGAAAGTACATCAAAATTAAATTTTATATAATGATATAAAAAAAATCGTCTATTAGTCTGTTTATTTTATGACAATTTGTCACTATCCCCGGATTTAAAATTGATTTCGATTTGTCTAAAAATAGGTGTCGTCATTTTTAATAAGAAATTAACCTAAAAAAATAAAATCATGATTGAAAATATATAAATTGCAAATATTAAGATATTGTCTAAAAAATTACAAAAATAAAACATTTTTTTTTAGGGAAGTCGACATCTTTGTTTTGATTGTTCAATATTAATTTTTACATCCTTATCATTATTATTTGTTTCAGATACATTCTTAATATTATCTATTATCTCCATTGAAATATTTTTGTTTGAAGGATCTTCTTCCCTAACCAACAATTTGTTTTTGTCATCCATTCTCGCCATAAGTACGTTATTTAGAGGATCTGTTTTTTGCTCCAAGGGTCTGATTGTATCGGTTACAATCGTAATAACAACTGGAAAAGTAGTATTGTCACTTGCTGATGGAGAAGAATTTATTATCTTACAAAATTCTTGAACATTCATATTGTCTGAATTCCCCGCCGGAAGTGGATTGCTATCTTTTGCTTTGGAAATTAAAACTGGAATTTTTATTTTATTCTCGTTACTATCGTCATTGGTAGTCAAAAGTTTATCATTGATGAACGACTTTTTAATGTATCCAGGCGATAAGGCTCCTTTATGAAGCATACGACTCGATCTTCCACTATTTGGTAAGTTGTTGTTATTATTATTTTGATTCAGGTAAGCGTAGTTATTGTTTCCGAGATCATCCAAATTTTCTTGGGTGTGCCCATCTTGGGTTATAATGCTGAGGTCAATGTCGTGAGAAGAAAAGGATTTAGCGCTACCAGTTCCCATTGTCGTTTGACCAGAAGTGACGTAAGGGTAATAGTAATAGTAACTCCCTGTCTCCATTGTGTCACCATGTGAATTTATAGTTTTGCTACCATTCTTCTTTTTCGTATAATTTTAGAATGAATAAGTAAATTTCATTAAAATCTTAAAGAAAAGAATAAGGAAAAAAAATAAAATAGCAGGAAATAAACGAAATTTAAAAGAAAATAAAGAATTGAAATCGAGCAAAAATAAAAGGAATAGAAAAATAAGAACTATATATTTAAAACCAACGTTTTTTCCTCCAATGCTGAATTCCAAGTCGCGATTTTCATAGGTTTTGCACTTTCTTTTTCGGTTAACGACTACATACAAAATAACGGCTAATAAGATAGCTGCTCCGAAGGAAACAATTATGACAGATATTATAACAACAGTTGTTGCATGACGTGAATCTGGATTTTTGGAGCTTTCGTCTGCTACAGATGAAGTCAATACTCTCTTTGCGTCTTTAGGTATTTTTGTATTAGAAAGTGGATAATTTTTAACTTCTGCTTCAGTAATAATTTTGTTATGGAGAAGACGAGTATTGTCTGAAATTTTTATACTCGAACCGGATATAGAATTGGTTTTAGCCAATTTTTCTTCAGCCTTAAAAGAAGCTACAGTCGTATCATATGCTTTAAAAGTCATCACAGTAGTGTAATAGGCGGATATATTATTATCAATATCCTCTTTGCTATTTCCTCTCATCGAATCTTCAGTCATTTCAGTAATAATATAATTTAAATTAGGAACGCCATGCATAGAGTGATTTTGAGAATTCATGGAGCTATTATCGACTGTTTCTTTGTGCGGATTTTGGTGAAACTGGTAAATGCCTAGAGGGAATGGATTGATTGTCCGCTTATTGACATAACCAAAATTAGAAATTGTAATAGGATTTATAGCAGTATCAATATTGTCTGATTTTTCAGTCGGCCATTTCATTTCGTTTGCTTTTTAAAATTCATACATATAAAAAATAAATAATTATATATAATTCCATTTTCAAAAAATATAACAATTATTAATCCAAATTTACTGATATTCGTCCTCCAGATACCTTCTTTTATTTCCCCAGAAATAATTGAAATAGCATCGTCTACTTTATAATTCATTTCTCTACGATCATCGTCTTCTTTTATTTTCACAGAAGTAATATAAATATTATGGTCTGCGTTATAACTCGTTTGTTTAGTATCGTCTATTGTTTTTATTTAAGTGATTTTTATTTATAGGATTATTTTAAAAAATATTAAAATAATTATGACTCACAATCTAGTCTGCTCTCCAAAGAGGAAGTCTTATTAAAATTAACGTCTGCTATCGAATGATGATGTGCAATCTTAACTTCCGGTTTACTGCTATAATCCTGGTCTTCTACCGTAATTTTATTACCATAAGACACATTTTGGGCGAGTTTATAGCCATATGTTTGATTCATTGTGGTAATTTCCCTTTCATAAAAATTGCTACCAGTTGAAACCTCATGATTAATAAAAGAAGCGAAGGTTGTTAATAATTGTGATTCTTCTGCCACTGTGTCATTGTAGATGGATTCATAAGTCGTGGATTTGAAGAAATTATATGTAGGCGATACTTTAGTTGAATTATCGTCTGCACCTTCCATGTCTCCAAATTTAAATGAACTTTCTGTAAAAGGCTTATAATAGATTTGATTGTTTTCTTTTAAATTTTCCGTGAAACCAGCATAGTTATTATTGTCTCTTAAACGGTAAACAGTACCAAGAATAGAAACAGAAGAAATAGGGGCAGGTGATACAGAGATATCTAAATTCGTTGTGTATATCGGAATATTGGATGAAAGAATTTTTCCTGTTTCCTGAAAATTATGCCCAATTTCATCATCTCGGATATTATTATCTGCTATACCCATTTGTGCCATGGCCTCTATAGTGGTACTATATTCATTTCCAGCTCCGTAAGTTTCTGTAGATAACATTGTAGTAGAAGGATAAGACTTTTCGAGCCACTTATTTGTTATGCTTGTCAAGATTTCATTATTATCATTATCCTGAAATCGATTCATTTCCGTCATACTATCATTTATTTTAAGTGAATTCAACATGTTAAAAATGCCGCTCCCGTAAGATGGAACAGATAATAATGACGTAACTTCACTTGGAGTGATATTACGTTGTAGCCATTCACTCATTAAAGCTATCAAACTTATCAAATTATTTTTCGTTTTGTTATTCTCAATATCAGCATCACTGGCATTGACTTTCAATAAATCCAAAATGGCTGATATATTAAATTGGCTTTCTCCAAGATTTTGAATTGATGGTAAATTTTTGAAAGTATTACTTTCTAACCATTCATTCATAAAATTTGTTAAACCTTTCTTTTTAATTTCATTTTCATTAGAAGTAACTTTCAAAAAATCTTTCAAGGTAGACAAATCAAAATAGGCTTCACTATGACTTTGAGCAGACGATAAATTTCTTGAAGCGTTATTTTGTAACCATTCATTCATTAGATTAGTTGAATTTTCACTTTCACTAGAAGCCCTTTTTAACAAATCCATAATGGTAGATAACTCAAAATCAATTCCAGCTTGACTTTGAGCAGAAGATAGAGTAGTGAGAGCGTTACTCTGTAGCCATTTAGTCATATGTTTAGTTAAACTTTTAAGTTGAATGTTTTCCCTTTTAATTTTATTATCATTATCATTAGTAGAATCAAAATGATCATGCTCATAGTTATGTGTATATATTACGTTTCCGGATTTTTTCTGTAGCCATTTATTCGTAAGTGTAGTTAAACTTGTATAGTCAATTTCTTTAGAAGTAACTTTCAAAAAATCTAAAATGTTAGAAGAATCAAAGAAGCTATTCTCATAAGACGATATCGTTGCAGTAGATTCATTGATATAATCATCCATCAAATCCTTAAGATTAAAATGTACAGTCTTGTTGTTTATTCCTTCATTATTAAAAATGGCACTCATATTCTCATTATAATTCATTTTCTTATTTAATTTGTCATTATTAAAAATGGTGTATATATTGACATTGTTATTATCATTTATTTTCTGGTCATTTATGTTTCTATTGTTATCATTATCAATTATTTCCTTGTTATTTATTTCATCATTATTAAAGATAGTGTCCATATTTTTTGATTGGTTGTTAGTAAATGAAAGGTTAAAATTTGATTCAACTAAATGGAAACAAGAAAGTTAAAAAAAATGAATAATTAAAAGAAAAAAAGAATAATTAATTGAAAAGAAAAAGAAATAAATAGTAAAATTTTTTATTAGAATAGAAAAAAGATTGTAAAGATTGGGAAAAAGAATAAGATATGGAGTGTAGTTTTGGAATAGCCTGTGAAATTAAATAAATATTTATTAATAAAATAATGAATAAATAAAATTTCTGATTTTTTTCTCAGAATTTTTTTTAAAATTTCTCAGGAAATACTAAAATGCTTAGAAATCTGTTACTATTATTAAATATTCTTTTAGTGTGGTTTGCCTAATGCTTATTTTTTTTTATTTATATACTAATTATTTACATTATTTTTTGATTGACAATTTTAGGCCTTAGGAGAACCAGGCTTGTTAAAATTTTTATAACACAATTGTTCAATATTGGTAATGAAAGCTAATAAGATTTTTAATTATCTCTTCTTGTTAATTTCAAATGAAAGGTAATTTGACTAAATAATTGTTAATATTCATTCTAGATCTTCTGAGAGGTTTTTTTTTGAAATGATCTTCTAACATAATTTATACTATGGATTTCAAATAAAAGCCAATTTTTTAAAAAAAACCTTGTTAATTATTTTTATAAGTTCTCGGGGCTTAGTTCCTGAACGGAGGAAAGGGGAGGGAATTAAAAACCTTTTCTGCAAAAATGTCTCGATAAAAGTATCAAAAGAAAACGAATAAAAAGATTTATTATTGCATTATTAATCATCATAATATAGTTAGAATTAGTCCAGATCTTAAGGAGGGGAGAATTGAAAACTTTTTCTATCATAATATCTCTATGTGGGTATTAAATGAAGGCTAATAAAAGAGACGGAGAGTGGGTAATTGTTTCTAAAATAATACTTGACATCAAATCAAAGCTAATAAAAAGCCTATTGCTTTTTAATGATACATTAATTCCTCAAATAAGAGGGGGGGGGGAGGTAAATTTTTAAAAACTTATTTTTACAATAATTATTTAAAATTATAAAGAATAAATATTCATTATTTATAAATAAGTTTTTATAAAATGCATTGTTAATAATTAATTGTTTTAAATTTTCAGAGTTCTGAGCCGAACCTGGGTTCAGGACTTTTTTCTGAAAATCTTAATATAATAAAATTTATAATATCAGAATTTTAATGATGAGTTAATGAAGAGTTAAAGAAGATATTTTTATTATTAGAATTATCAAATTATATCTTTTTTTGTAAAAGTTTTAAAAAAATTAAATAACAATGTAAATTTTGTCTATTCCAAATCCCTGTTTATTATAGTAATATTTATATAACTAATGATATTTTTCAGATCAGCAGGATATTTAAAACCAGGGATCCAAACCGAACCTGAACCGAACCGTTAAACCGCTAAAAACCGTTATTTTTTATCGAACCTAAACCGAACCTAAACCTCTAAAAAAAATTCTAGCCGAACCTGAACCGAACCTCTAAAATCTTCTGAACCGGTTCGAGTCTCATAATTTTATGCTTATAAAATAATGTGTGAGTTATTACTAGTAGTATATTGCAAAAATTTTAATTATATTCAAATTGTTTTAAAAATTATTATCAATCACATTTGATTGATAAACGTGAGTCATAATTTTTATAAACTTTAGTATATTGTCATTTTACAACATTTTTTAATATTTTAAGCTTATAAATTATAATGCCTAGAAAAAAATTAAATCTAATATATAAATTATTTACATATAGCATTATAAATGACACATCAAATCTGATATCATATTGGCAATGCCAGCTACCCAAGCAGTGGCGTAGACAAGGGGGGTTTTGGGGTTGAAACCCTCCCCCCATCACCCCTCAAAAAAAAATTTTTTTTTAATTTTTTTTTAAAATTTTTTCTGTTTCAATTTAGAAATAAAATAAATAATATATAGGATATTAAAATGAAATATATTTTTATGAACTAATAAAATATTAAATAACAATTAAATATATATTGTAAATATATTTTTATTGTTTAATTAGATATTTTAAATTTCATAATAAAATTTAAATTGTTAAACTAAATTTAGATAGTTTTTAAAATTTTTATTTAATTCCCACATGGATATAAGAAATTTTTTACTAAATAAAGGTAAATTTAAATTGATTTAGAAAATTTATGTAATTTGATTTGATTTAGAAATAACAAAATCCTCAAATGATGATGGTAATGGTATTCACTTTTATAATATCTTTTATTTAAATCTTGCAATTAGAATTACAACCAACATACTCAGGGAAAACAAATGAGTTAGCTAAAATAAAATCATCAAATGATAATGGTATAATTCTAAATTATCATTTATAAGTTCTCTTAATTTTTTATAAATAGAAAAATTATGTATTATTAAAGAATCTGAGCTCTCAGTTGATTTGGCTGGAAAATCATCAAATGATGGTATGGTATTTTATAATATAATTGAGTTCTATTTTTTTATTTGTAAATTATATTTTCATTTGAGTTAATAAAATTTTGCAATGTGCTTTATTTAGTTATAACCCTTTTTTATATGAAAAGCTCATCATTTTGATTATTGTAAATTCCCAAATAATCTTTAGATATTACAACATTCACAAGCAGAGTTGGGCAGTATTGTGAAAACTTGTATCTTAGATAAAAACAAATAATTTCCTTCTATGTCTTACCCTGTCTTTTAAATTTGTAATAGATAACTTGAATCTTTATTTAAGATATATTTTTAATAAACTATATTATTTTCAAGAGCATCTTTCCATCTTGTATATACTTGACTTACCAATGTTTTGAGTTTTTGTAACCCGGGTCCAGCATATCTTAGTGAAAAAATGACGCACACTTTACAAAAAGCTCCCTTTTCATTAGCTGAATAAGCAAGCCACTTATATTTCTTAAGCCACGATGTTTGAAATGTTAAATTTCTTTTATCCAAAGACAATGTAGCATTTGTCAGGTGCCCAAATATTTTCCACAGCCAACAATTTTTCATTATCATTTTTAAACTGAAATTTTAAGTATAATGAAATATCTTTTTGAGGACATTGATTTTCTATATTTTTTTTTAAATTTTAAAATATATATTTCAATGTGAATTGTAGAGTTCAGACCTGAGCAGCACAATCAACAAAATAAATATCATCTCAATTCTTGTGAGATATCTGATGCTTTAAAAGCCATCTCTATGAATCAAAAGATATCAATATCTAATGTATTGAATAAAAAAAAATTGATATTGTTACAACCAACAGAGCCAGAATAATTATAATAATTGATGCAATCATTTGGCTAGGGAGGCAGGGCTTAGCATTAAGATCTCATAGAGTATCAGCTGGCCCCTTAACACTTTCATCTTCTCATAATGAAGGGAATTTTAAGGAATTGCTGAAACTTTTATGCAACAATAATGATAATTATATAAAGCTTTTTGAAAGCTCGGCTAAAAATGCCACCTACCTTAGTCCATGCATTCAAAATGAAATTATATCCATATGCAATAAGTTTATATTGAAAGAAATTTCTACAAAAGTGAAAAGCATCACCATTTTTTAGTGTTCTGGCAGATGAAACATCGGATGTTGGTAACATAGAGCAATTATCCATAGCAATAAGGTTTATTGATATGGAATCAGGTCATTATAAAATGAAGGAACTCTTTGTTCAATTTATTGATTTACATGACACTAAATCAGAGACGATAGCCAAAGAAATTTTAGCATCCCTTCAAGATCTAGATTTAAATTTAAATCTAATGATAGGCCAGGGATATGATGGAGCTCCCACAATGAGTGGTCATGTTAAGGGAGTGCAGTCAAGAATTAGAGAGCTTTATAGCACCGCTTTATATGTTCACTGCAGCTCACATTGCCTAAATTTGATGATATCCGAGGCATGGGAAATTCGAGACATCCGGAACAGTTTACGTAAATTTTTTTAAATTTAATTGGAATTTATTAGATTATTATGTATTATAGATAACTTTTTATAATTTAATATATTTTTCAAAATTTAGAAACAATATCGTCTGTTTGTGACTTTTTCACACCACCCAAAAAGCGACAGTTATTTATCCGAACATTTGATGATATTGATTCAAATAATCCAAAAAAAAAACTAAAACGATTTTGCCCAACTAGGTTTATCGAAAGACAACAATCAGTGAGACTCTTCATAGAATTATATGAAGTTATTCTTGCAGCACTCGAATCCTACGTATCCAGCAAAGAAAAGAATTCCTCAGATGCTGAAAATTTTTTACAGGCGATTACGAAGCCACAATTTTTAATATCAATTCAATGTGTATATTTTTTATTTAATTATACTTATGATTTTAGCAAAATACTTCAAAAAATTAATTTGAATTTAAGAGAGGTTATGAATAGGGCAAAGGATATTCTTATTAACAAATATCAGAGAAAATGTGGATGAAAAATTTCATGATATTTACAAGAAAGTAAAGGAGATCGCTAATTTGTTTGGGATCGAAATTTTTAAACCTAGAGTAGTTTCTAGATAGTCAAATCGCTTAAATATTGATGCCTCTTCGATTGAGGATTTTTATAAAATAAATATTTTTATTCCCCTTATTGACACATTTTTATTTCAATTAAAAGAAATATTTATTAGTCATAATTTTATTTTAAAAAGTTTTTATTTTCTTCTGCCGGTTGAGTCTGAATTGTTGATTACACATGAAACGCTAGAGGATATTAAGAAAATCTCAGAGTTTTATTCTGATGATTTATCAGGATCGTATGATAAGTTACTTTGTGATGTCGAATTTTGGTATAAAAATCTCGACAGAATAGAGTGCTCTTTGAGACCTAAAAATGCTTTGCAGGCTCTTTCCATGTGTAATTGCACTTTAGATTCCCTGCCAAATATCAAACATTACTTTTTATTTTAGCTACTTTACCGATTAGTACCTGCACCAATGAAAGGTCTTTTTTAACTTTGAAAAGGTTAAAAACCTATTTAAGAAATAGCACCGGTGAAAACCGTTTAAATGGATTAGCCCTTTTAAATATTTATAAGGAGATTATTCTAGATAAAAATTTGATTCTAGATGAATTAGCCAAATCTCAGAGAAAAGTAGACCTCTCTTTATAAATTCAAATCTATGATTATCATATTTTCTTAGTCATAAAATTTTTATATGCAAAACTTAATTATAATTAATTCTTAGTCATAATATTTATGTATTTTTAATAAAAGTATTGCTTTTGCAATAAGAAATATTTATAGATTATTTTGTATTAATTATAATTGTTAAATTATATTTTTTAAAATACCATACAAGAATTACTTATATTTTATTGAATTATATATTTTTTAAATATAATTATTTACAATAAATTTTTAATATAATAATCTATATAAAAATTTCTACATTTTGAAATTTATTTTATTGTAAATTATCATTAAAATAAATGCATAGTTAAATAAAAAGATTTTATTTATACTAAAGTATTTTAATAATAAATAAAATCTATATCTAAAATTTAAAAAAGAATTATTTTTAACACTCAATCAGGTATATTGAGTGATCTTAAAAAATGTAAGGTTCGGGGAGCAAATTTTTTTCTTTCTATATATGGATTAATTTACAATTGACTAAACATAGATTAAATTTTTAGAATAATGTTTTCAGTGTTCAGTCGCTTATTAATCATAAATTTAGCTAAAATTGTTACTAATATTTTTTTTATTCATGCTTGTTACTATAGTGATTAGACACTAATAAAGCACATAATATTGCCAATATTTAAAAGTAGAGTTTGGGGGCTTCGTCCCTCCCAAAAAACTTTAACCCCCCCCCCCCCCCCCATGGATAAATTCTGGCTCCTCCACTGTACCCAAGTTAGTGTTGAAAGATGTTTTTCAACAATTAAATTTATATTATCTTTTTATAGATGTAATTTGAGTGAGACGAATTTTGAAAATATATTAATTGTGCGGCTTAATAAAAAAATTTTAAGTAATTGTTCATATTAATTAATCATTGATATATTTATTTGTTATATTTATAAATTAAATATTATTTTATAATGTGCAATTAATAAAAATGAAGGTTTTTATTTTAATGAAATAAAAAAATTTTTTCCTTATACATAATCCTAATGTAGGTTTGAATACAAAAATGTTCAAACCGGTTTTTAGAGGTTCGAACCGAACCGATATATATTTTTTGCGAACCAAACCTGAACCTTGAACCGTTATTTTTATCCGAACCTGAACCGATATTCTTTTCGGTTTGGATCCCTGTTTAAAACAATGGATTTTATTTCAAATGAATTTTAACTTTAAAAATGAAAGAAAACTATAGCAAAAATATTAAAATAGATTGATGTTAATTTAATGAATAATTAAGCCTTATAATAAAATATATAATTTATTCTATGATAATTGTCTAGATTATCTCTTCCCGAAGTCCTGTAAAAATTCTGGAATAATTTTTAAGTGTTGGTTACAATTTTACACCAGTTTTTCTTTAAATTTACTTTCGAACATATAGAAAACAGTAACTACAGACAGAGGTAACCAAATATTACAGATTTTGTGTTTTGCTATTTTCATAAACTAAGAAGTGAATTATAATAAAAAAAAATATTACATAAATTAACCTTAAGATTACATAAATTATCATTAATATTGCATAAATTATGCTTAATAATAAATTTTGAATAATATTACCTAATTTAGTCATTATCAATTATTTATATTTTTCTATGATACATTACAAGCTTTTATTTATTACTTAATTCATATTCTTCTGCTTATTCACCATAAAAATGACGAAAAGGGATCGAAATACTCAATTTCAAGCAGATCGATATATCAAATTTTTGATTAAAACCGCAAAAAATTTAACCCAGCCGCATTCCCTCCCCCCGTTTATCCTCAAGAAAAAATTCATAATTGCAGCCCTAAAAAACGTATGCCTTTCTTTGAATAATACCTTATAGGCCATTATCCTATATTTGTTATTTCTACCGAAAGTTCTTTATGGATTTTAATAAACAGTTTCCATATATGCGGATGGTGACCCACAATAGGCTAGAATCGATTATATTAACCCTTACAAAAGTTATTTTTGCTGTCTAAATCTAATCTAGTTACTTCAAACAAATTCCAAGTGGATGGCGGAAAAAGGTGTGCTATATGTCGCTGCGGTTGAGATATTTCATTATGCATAGGCATTTCTTGGGCGTGTTAAAGTGCATTTCTACCTGCCATATTCTTAGTTTTAATATGTATAAATGCACTGTAGTCCTAACTATCAAGGAAGAATATTAAATTTTTATATAGTAAAAGAAGCCATTATTATAAAAAATCTTTCAATTAAAGGGTTTTTTTAAAAAATTTTCTCCACTTTAAAATAAAGGTTATTATTCATTTATTTTATCAGATAAATACCCAAGCAAGAGTCACATTAAAGATGTTTTCTCCACTTTGTTTATAGGATAGTATTTTTTTGTTTCATGTTTAATTATATTTTCTTTTTAATAATAAAGATTTTTTTCCATATTTTTATTTATTTATAGGCTATTTTTCCTTAAGATTGTTTTTCTGCAGTTTATTTTTTTCGCATTTATTTCTGGCAGGTTATTTTTTTCGGCATTTATTTTTTCTGTCAGGGTTTTTCCCCGCATTTCTTTAGGGCGAGTTTTCTTTCCCACAGGCTTTTTTTTACCATTATCCGTTCTACAAGATATGTGTCGATTGAGAATATTGGAAAACATAGTGGTCTTAATTGTATATATAAATAAGCTTGATATTGCAAGGCCTTCGGTCATTATAATAATTAGCCGTAGTCTTATGAGAGCCCGAGTACTAAACATCCTGGAGGTTGCTAATTTATCATGAGATGAGTACCTGATGACAGAGGAGTTTAACTTCAGTTCCTTTGTTTTTAAGTAAATTCTTTATTTGGGATTTCACATGCGTCTCTTTCTTTTTATAAAAAAGGTTTATTCGAACTTGGTCAATAATGCCGAGACAAAAATAAATGAATGTTATCTCTTCCCATGGACATATAAATGAAATGAAAACTTTTCAAAAAAATATAGGTGGCAAAATCAAAACCATTACATCAGATAAAGAATTTTATATATTATTATTTTAAAATATAATTATGTTTTTTTGCCACTTGTGGCTCCTATTCTAGTTTATAAAATGACTATTTTTAATTACTCTCTTAGGTTATTATCAGGCTCATCTATTTAATTATAATTTTTTTTAAAAATTGTGATCTTAATTATATGCAGTTAAATATGTTTATATCAGTATAAATTTAACTGGACACATACATCTATTTAATGGTAAATTTTTGTGGTTTTAATGGCTAGATCTTACCTATGTATTATTAAAATGCTTTAATATGTTATATTAAATAGGATTTGTCAAACTTTTTATGTGAATAATATTAAAAGAAAAGTCTACTAATATTTATATAAATATCAGCAATTTGAATGTGTATTTTTCTTCGCAACAAAATAAAATGTATATAACGATTTTTTAAAAATGATTTGCTCAATTGGATGGATGAACTTAGGTAGCCAGCGGGGTAAGGAGGGGGAATAGCAGGTTTCATGAATTGTGTATTACAAAGTCTTCGCTTTCTAAAAATAGATTATATTCTATTTTAAATTTTAGCAAAAAGTTGAAATTTAAATATTTCTTCCTTGTGTATTAATATTTTATCTCACAATAATTTAAAGTATATTTCTTACATTTTATAAACCTTAATAAAGGATGAATATAAAAAAAATTTTATCAATCAAAAATAGTTTTATTTAATTAATCTTTACTAATAACTAGGATTAGGCAAAATTTTTATAGTTTATCTAATGTTCAGATATACAAGAAAAGGAATTTGCTGAATAGGTATATTTCTGAAAATAGGTGTACTACAAGGAGAAAGAAACTGAAAAAAACATGTCAGACAAGATGGAGCCTACGATATATTAAGCAGTTACAAATTTTTAGATCTAGAAGAGCCTATTTTGAGTGCCCTTAGAGAAATATCCGAATTACCTGAACCAAGCATTTTACCTGAATGTTATACATTATTAGTTTCAATAGCCGATATTTTTATGATTATGAATTAGAAAATTATTTAATTACACAACAATTTTATGAAATATTTTTAAATAATAATATGGATTTGGCTGTGGTTATAAGAATTGCGAATATTATATAATATAACTTAGAAAACTAAAAATTATCTATAAATCCTTTTGAGGATATATTATATCTTGATATCGAAAAATTAAATATTTTATTCTGAGCATTTAGGAATTTTTTTTTCTTAGTATTTCTGTTTTAATCTGAGCAATTAAATAACAAGAAAAAATAAAAAGGAAATAAAAGCAATAGAATTTTTAAAAAACAATAGTTTCATGAATTAATTATACATACTAGACGAACTCCTAAGAACAGGAGTTGTACTTTTCACGGGAACATTTATTTCGGCAGGATGCTGAGTTTCATCTTGAGATTGATTAGTTTTGTTAAAATATCATACATATTTGGTAAAATTAAATAATAATTTAAAAGCAATTTCTTTTACTTACTATTTCCCTTTTTTCAATTTCTTATCTTTTATTTCTAATTCAACTTTATAGGAATAGATATAGTAATTTATAAAAATGTAAAATTAAGATCCGATTTATACAACCATTTTTGATTTTTTTTACTTTTCCTCTTCCCCTTTACATATTTATTTCTTCACCTTTCATATTTCTTATTATGTCTTTTAGTATCTTTACTTCCTTAATAATTTTTATCTTTAATTATTAGTTTAGTTATGAACTAACAAATGATGCAATCAAGGGAATAATTACCCCCGTTTATTTTAGGTTCGGTCTTATAGTCGACTGTATCTTCCTGTGCGTTGTCAAGTTCCAAACTATCTTTAATGGTTGAAACTAACAATGCATCATCTGGTTTGATTTTACCGTAGGTCTCACCAGTAACAGAAGTAGGTGTTGAATTGTTCAAAAATCCAGACATTTGATTGGTCAGGATGGATTGCATTATATTGAATTCAGGATCATTAGTTTCCAGTCTCATTACAGAATAAGGTGAGACGTTGTCTTTATTATTATCATTTGTTATAGAATCTGTTGTAGTAATCGTCAAATTATCATTTACCGCCGTTACAGTGTGTGACTCATTTTCGAATTTTGTTCTATTCCAAAAATCAATTTTTCTAACACCTTCCCCTCCAATTAATCCTGCCCCAAGAATTATAAGTTTATTTATAACATTAGTACTTTCACTTTTGTTAACATTATCATATGCCCGTCTCGCTACGTCGGTAGGATGTAAAGATGAAAATGGCAAACTGGAAGTCATCACTATCATAGTAGACGTATTACTTTCAGCTAGATTTTTTTTATAGTCTTCCCTTATTTCAATAACCGTTTTAGGAGTTATTTTTTTATCGTCCTTTTTATCTTTTTTCTCATTAATATCTGTTTCCCTTATAGCGGAGGCAAATGAAAAATTTACAGTAGGCAATGTTGAAGATTGTGTTCCTTCTCCAGAAATATCTAAGTTGCCTAATTCTGTTTTTATATCTTCTGTGATTAGATAAAAAAGATAAAATATATTTTAATATTTATAAAAATTGACTCTTTAAACTGATTATAGTAAGTGAAACGAAACACATTAAGAATATTTTTTTGGTTATGATCACAGTATTAAGTAAACTAATTTTTTTTACCCATGTTATTATTAATATTCGTTATAACGTGATAAGAATCATCTGTTATTCCCAGAGAATAGGATATATTGGAAATTATATCTCTATCTAATATTGAAATTTCCGGTAATGGAAAGCTAGCCAGGGCAAACGATACGTTTTCTTTATGAATAAGAGTCACACTGTGATTGGTTAATTTTATTACTGTGTAATTGACTAGTCCTTGTATGGGCATGTGATCAGATGTAATATTCACAGCAGGGGGGAAATAGTTTTCCAAATAATTAGCGGGAGAAGAGTAGTTAGCACCCTCAGGTATTCCTGTTATAAATGTATCAATTTTAATATTTTTTAATAAAAAAACTACCAAATGCAAACAATCCAGCACCACCTGCTGCACCGGCAGCCAGAATAATGCCTGGAAATGCGGATTGCGATTCCATACGATTGGTTGTACTTGTAGTCGATATTTCGATTGATGTAGAAGTGGATAAATCTTCACTAGTCGTGGTATCAGATGTTCCTTGTGTAATATTTGTCATCGTAATGGAAGTAGATGCAGATGATAAAAGGATATTTTTTGACGAAAGTACACCGTTTACTATGAGAAGAGCTAATTCTGGACGATTAGTACTACTGTAAACACCTGTGGTAGAAGCTAACGACATGTTCTCATCATCTATTCCTTCATCGGTATCATCATCCTCTTTTTCGTCATATAATTCATTAGTAGTATTTCTCATATCAAACTCAGGAACAGATGAAGAAGACAATTTATTTAGAGAGCCTGACTCGTCTTCTTCCGTCTTTCCGAACTTTGCATCAGAATTAGATATTATTATTATTCCACCAGTAACAGAAGTAAGATTAATTCCTTCAACAGACGAATCTATCTTTTCTAGCATATCATTCCCTGTTCCATCGCTAAAAAAGTCTGAAGACGATTCTGTTGTCATTTCTTGTTTCAAAATACCTTGGGTTCCATTCTTCCTACTCACATGACCACCGGATTCACGATTAAAGATAGATGCAGTCATGCTTTGAAATGGAGTTTTATCATTTTTTGCCCCTATAATGGTCATATTAACTTGCTGGATAATGCTTGTATTAGAGAGGTCGGCAAAAAAATCGTGAATTCGGAGAACACGTGATCGATTGGCATTTGGTGAATTTATTATATTCATGTCTAGTTGTTTTTAATTAAAATAAATAAATTTACAAAAAAACTAATTTTTCTTTTCTTTCTTATTTATGTTCTATTCTTAATTTCCCATTCTTTTTTAACTTATGTTTAAATCATTCATATACCTGTTAAGTTAGCCATTTGTACGCATCGAAAAACAGAAGTAAAAGTGAGAATCAAGAACGTCCACGTGATCATTGAATTGTTTCTTTGTTTACTTTTACTGAATAATAATATCATTTATTTGATTTTTTATTTTATTCATTTACTATTTTTCATATCTTTATTTATTTGTGTTTACCTTTGTCAAATATTTTAACACTTTTATTGTTTTTAATTTTGTTTATTGTTTTTTTTTATAATTATGTTTATTTTTACATAATTTTGTTTATTTTTTAAAATTATTTGTTCACTTTTTATTTATTTTTTGTTTAATATGTTTACCTTTTTTTAAATTATTTGTTTGCTTATTAATTTTTTTATTTTTTCTATCTTTATTTTTTATTGGTTATACATTTTTGGATAAATTTCCACGGAATTCAGAATTATATGGTTCCATCTGCATTCATGAAAATATGTAATAAAATTATATAATATCAAAAAAGGATTTTACTACTAACTTCTTCACTCACTGTTACCCCTCGTTTATAGTAGGAGCGAATTTTCGGGGAATTATAGAAAATTCGCTTTATTTTTTTTTTCGCCCCTAATTGCAAACTATGAAGGAGAATTTAACCTGCATTAAAAGTTAACACGAATTTACGGCGAATTATAAAAAAATAATTTTCTGTATTTATTAGTGGCAAAGCGTTAACTGTGAAAGCAGGTTAGGAATGGGCCTATTCAAAAACATTGCTATTTATATTTGAATTCAATTATAATTAAGATTAAGAGACAATTATTCTTTTTTAAATAATTTTAAATTCCAAATTTAGTTATATCATTAAAAAAGAATCGGATAGCTATTTGAATCTACTTTTAGCAACTATTCTTGTACTACTAAATCTGCCCGTTCCATTGAAAATTTAAAAAAATCCATGATAGAAATAGAATTGTTAAAAAATACTTCTTAATGTATCTAGTAGCAATACGTGCCCTAAAAAGTATCTAGATATCAATTATGTATATAATCATAAAAATGAATCTTAATATACATAAAAAAAACAATAATTTTAGATGCACTTTTTATTATTGTAATATTGTGTAATACTTTGCTACCGAGCCCTTCATGAATTAACGACCACCACCCAAAGGATTATTACAGAAGGAATAATGTTATACATGTATTAATGCTCAACTGTATATATATGTTTTATTATCTCCATGATTATGTATAAATGAACATTACTATTAAAATATGTGAACTATATTATATTGGCGCAGTAACGGATTAAATATAAACTATTTTTTAAATGTGATATTTGTATGAATGTATTAAATGATTTAATGAAATTAAATTATTGTAAAAAATAAAAATTGTAAATTAGAATTAAAAAATTATGAAAATTTGGAAAATATGATAAAATTATGATTGATAATGAAGTTTTAATTTGGAAAATGAATTATTAATGGAATACGAATAGTTTTAAATGAATTAGCAAAAATCACACTTATATGGAGATTGGGTTTATGGAATAGGGTAATTGATATATGATGACAAATGAATATATGTGTAAATGATGTGAAATCTTATGAAAATATCTATTTTGGGAGGATGAATTTTATGAAGGGATGAACAAATTAGATTTATTAACTAATATCTGATGAATATGAAATTGATTTTGACATAATTATATTGAATAAACTAAGATTATGGAAATATTGAATATATGGAGAAAAACTATTATTGATAAATATGGTTATGGAATTATGATTCTTACGAAATATTTTAATCATTTGATTTTTGGTTATGAGAAAGAATATTTTGAGATTTTGACAAGGACTATATTTTTGATATATTTTAATACTAATGGGGCTCCCGTGGCTAGGTATTACTTTGGGTTAAAGGATAGCAATGACACTGTTTAGGAATATGGATTATCTCATGAGCCATCCAAGGATGATAGCGATCTCTTGATCAGCTCTAGAATAATAGTGACCTCCCTCATGGGCCATCCAAAGATGATAGTGATCTCTTGGCCACTCTAGGATAAGGGTGACCTCGTGGGCCATTAATACAAAGGAGTCGATAAGGTTCCGGCAGGATATCTGTTGATATTGATAATCTGTTGGGAGATCAATCATATAAAGGGATCGATAAGGATACCTCCGATTGGATATCCATCGATATTAATACTTCGGTGGGAACCAATATCATACAAAGGGATCAACAAAGATACTCTATGGGGATATTAGTCTATATTGATACTCCAGCGGGAGATCAATAATAGTTTTGGTATGGATACTGTGTGAGATCAATAATAAAGGCAAAACTATAAATCGAGCAGAGTCTGGTATATTAAATTGCGCATAAAGAAGAATGATTAAAAATTGGACAGAAAAGGGAAGACGAGTATAGACCATGAGGAGAATGAATATAAGAGTATTTCAAAAGTATGATGATGACAGGATAGAGACCTCAAAGTTGCAAAAAGAATTAGTGATCCAAACTTGTAAAAGGGGGAGAGATGTAATATTGTGAAATAGTTAGCAACGTCATCCAAACTTGTTAAAGGAGGAGGAATGTAATATTGGGTACTGGTTAGCTACCGAATATTTCATGAATTAACGACTACCACCCAAAGGATTTCCAGAAGGAACCATGTTATCCATGTATGTTTATGTATGAACTGTATCTATATGTTTTGAAATCTTAATTGGATTATGCATAAATGAATTACTATTAATTAGTGCTGTAAACGTTACTACAAAAAAGATACGCGTTACCGTTACTCGTTACATCTGAAAAAAACGAGTTACCGTTACTCGTTACCTTTTCAAAAAAGGAACGCGTGTTACCGACTTTTAAAAAAAGTAACGGGCTACTCGTTACTTAAAAAAATTAAATATATACAAAAATAATATTTTTTTTTTGACAATATATTATAAAATAAAACTATACAAAAAGAATATATAAGATAGTTTTATAAAAAAATATTCGTATATTTATTATAATATAAATAAAATTATACAAAAATAATATATTATAAGATAACATCATGTAATAATTTTTTATTTATTTTTAGCAACAATGATTTCAAAATTTTGATCAGACAAACAAGAGCGCTTAGTGCTCAACACGGCTGGTTAAATAATGGGTTGTTATATATAGTATTTGAATAATAAATAAAATCTATAATGAAATTCTCTGTTAAATTTTGTTATTGGATAAATCCTGGCTACACCACTATTTCATATATATATATATATATTATTTAAACAAAGTTTTTTAATTCTTTAAATTTGTAAACAATTATAGTCAAACCAATAGCAATACAAAACAAGAAATAGAAGATATAAAAAACTCAATATAATACTTTGAACCAAAACCAATATTTTGTTAATCTTAAGATTTAAATGTTGGTTCCCAGCCCAATATTTTAGTATAATTTAATTCCTTATATTTAGGGCTGTGCCGATCCACATATTTTTTACCGATCCGATATTTCAAACCCGATCCGATATTGATACCGGTCGGATATTTATAATGATTTTTCACCACCACCCTTTGAATCAAATGTAATTAAGAAATCAATATTTTTTATGCAAAAATCAAATTATGCATTTAATTTAATTTTTTTTATTTCTACAATTAAGGCCATAATTTAAAAAACTATATTTGATAATATATGCATTTTATTTTTGTATGAATTATAAAAGATTTATTTTAATAAATATGAGAGCCTCTAGATTTTCTGGCAATAAACTTCTACAATATGGAGTCTCTATATCCCCTGCCATACTGAAGGTAAACTCAGATGATTCCGCAGATAACGCATTTTGCAAAATTATTTTTGTCTTTTATATTCTTTTATTTAAAGTATAGATAATAAAATTGGCGTTATTATTTAAAAAGATTTAAAATAATTAAAACTTTGAGGGGTTCTTTCTATTTTAATAAAAAAAACTTTAAAATACTATATATCTATTTTAAAAAGGAATAAAATTTAGAGGGTGTTGTGCATTTGAATTGCTTAAAAAAAAATTATTTAGAAAATATTATAATAATGTAAAATAAATATACATAACATAAAATAACAAAAAAAAAGAAAAGTAAAAAGATCGGATCGGTTTTTTACAGATATCGGCCCGATCCGATATTTTTGGAAAACGTTAAATATCGGTACCGATCCTATCCGATGTTTAATATCGACACAGTCCTACTTATATTTTTCCATGATTAAGCTTTTCAAAATATTATGAAAGAATATTATTCTATTATTTAAGTAATGTTTAAAATAATGATATATTAATTTATCTTTTTACCTTCAAATGCTTTTTTAAGTTTGAACTGCTGGACATTGAGGTTAAAATAATTGTGTTGGGATATAATTTACATTTACAAAGTGTAGACTTGGTACCATTAATTTTCTTTATTGGTTTAAAATATATTTCAATTGGAGCCAGGGAAGGGTTAAATCATCTTCATCTGAAGAAGTACTATGGACATACTTAAAATAAATTATAAGAATAATAATATCATTATTAACATCATTTACTTTGAATTTTAATTGAATGTTAATTTCGACAGAAAATTTAACAACGAGAGTTTAAAATATAAATGAAGGAAGTTGTTGGTTGATATGAAAAACTCGGCTTAAATTTTATATTAAGAATTAAAAAATAAACAAAAGTAATTTTATAATTATGTTTTTTTTTAGTAAGTAACAAATGGCGTTCCTTTTCTTCAAAAAAGTAACGTCGTTAGTAACGACGTTACTTTTTTGACGTTACTTCACAGCACTACTATTAATAAATATAAACTATGTTATAATTATAGAAACCATGTAAGGTGTACAAACTTGAAATAATAATTATTCAATGTTTATTAATTAATAAAATATCGTTTTTATTAAAAAATTTATAATGGGAAATTTTTATTTACTTTCTATATAATATTAAAATTGAAATAATACAAAAATATGAATTGAGAGTCAGCGAGGCATATTTTTTACCGAGAAGTCTTAAAAGACATATAATTTATATCATAGTATATAAAAACTTAGAAAATTTTACACACATTAACTTTGGGTTAATATAGGAAATCCCACTAAAAACCAGGCTGACATCTTCCCATTTTGTTTTTAAATAGATTT